GTTACTAGATATAGATCATCATTTATAAACGAAGTTTTGCATAAATTGATTACTGTAATTAATAATGCAATATGAGATAATCTTAGAAAAACAGAAGAACTCTATGAAAAATCTTTAAATTGTAAAATTATATAATCTATATATATGTATATATATATATATAGATATATATTTTTGGACACACAAGGGTGTTTAAAAACATAAATGTTAACATGTATATATGTATGTATAATAACTTAAAACGAAAATACACGTTAAGCACCGTGTTATATTAAAATTATGATGATTAAAAATAAAATTTGTACACAATGGCACATTTTACTTATTTCAATTTATACATTTATATTTTTATGATCATGATGCTGCCTGAAAAAAGTGCTCAGTGCGTCCTGATTTAGTTACTAATTTTTAGTACTTAATTAAACAAAATTAATATAAAATATATATATATATATATATATACATATATATATATATATATATGTATACACAATTAATATATGTTATAGTAGATTATCTGATGTTATATTAATATTAAGCGAGGCTCCTCAGTATCCAGCTGTAGAGTCTATGTTGACGCATTCATACGCCCATTCATACCATATATAAACGCATATTTCTCGGTAACAATAATTTCCGCATTATAGGCGGTAGTTCGTGTGAATAATACCACAGGAATTTCGATTCGCATGCCCCTTTTTTTCTACTTACAGCAAAGTGGGTGAAAGTTTTATTTAATTCGAAATAAAAATGTTGTCTACATTATAATGCCACGTAAAGTAAAATGCTATTAAAAATGTTCCCTTGAGATACGATAAATACAATATCATCGAATCGATTTTTTTTTTCTTTTTTTTTTGTGCTCAAAATGTTCTCATACACATAAATTTCGCGTGTAGATATAATATATTTGCAATATTATTTATTTTTTAATACTGTAAATGTTTTTAGGAAGAACATGTTTACTTATTGTATGATGATGGAAATATCAAATGCTTTTAAGAAAAAAAATTTTATATAATATGTTGTGCATATTTTACAGTATAAATTGTTGCAATCTTTAAAAGTAAATCATATTTTTTATAACTAGGAACTTTTAAGTTTTGAGATATATCAAAAGCAAATATTACAGTAATAACATAAAGACCTACACAAATTCACATATAAAAGATTTGATATATATATATATATATATATATATATATATATATATATATATATATATATATAATGCAATTTGTAATGCAATTCATGTTTCCATCATTAAATACATTTTTTATTAGTGTATCATTTTTTGAGAACACGATCTATGACTAATAGTAAGCAGTGTACAATGCATGTACCAACACAAAGATATTTTGGATGCCTCTAAATAAACTTTTATAATTAAACAATTGAGCGCATAAAGTATATAATAAAAAATTTTCTATTATCTATACATAATATTATTTATACATAAATTCTATTCTTTTTAACATTCTTTTAAATATCATAAGAAAAAATCGTATAATGCTGATATCAATTTCCAGTTTTTGTCAAAAGTTCATTTTATACTATGTATATTAATTTTGTTTAAATATTTGATTGTGATTCACGTTAATAGGATTTAATAGAATAATAAAATATTTCTGCAAAATAGCTCTACAATAGTCATCAAACGACTAGAAAATACTTCTATACATTAAATGTAATAATTCATGGAAAAACTTAGATATTAACATAAGAGAAGTATAACTTAGTAATATAGATACATTTTATTTCATATAAACCAGTCTAAAAAACAATATAATATGATTCAATAATATACTTTAATTATGAATTTAATATGTAAGCTGTTTTTTATCCAACAGTAGATATAATCTTACTGTAAACTCTTTCCATAACTTATATAAACAATTCTTTTTATTTATTACAGGCCAGCATCAGGCTATTACTTGAATATCTTTTAAGAGCACATATAAATGTATGTGTAGATAAATGTATGTGTAGATATACATATGTATATGTGAAATTGTATTCATGTATTGAGTTTAAATGGTATTTTTTTTGTGCTTCAATGGACTTACACTCTACAAACTAACTTTGAAAGATGAAAGTTTTAATTTAATAGAAAGCATATCCATTTATACAGATATGAAGCATATATAAGTTTAATTTTTATCAATTAATAGATTGTTTTAATGTGTATTTTATTCTCCGTGATTCCATTTTTTTCTCTTACAAATATACATACACACACAAACGCGCGCTCACGCATACACACACACACACACACACGCACGCACACACGTTTTCAACTTAAAAAAAATTAATGTTGTTTTTATGATCATAGAAGTGTAAATCTCTGTATTGGTACATAAAATAGCTGCAATACTAGTAAATTGAGGTGATAAAATGGTCTTCATTGATCACACGTTCTGTACATTATTTTTGGAAGATTTCTGTTAAATTTCTTGATTGTCTTCACCAGTTTCATTATCTACAAATTCTACATGTGTAAATGGAAAATGACCTACTTTGCCATGCAATTCACCTTCCCATTGGCCATTTATGTTTGTTTTTGTTACCTTTATCATGTCACCTACTTCTAATTTTAGAGCTGTTTTATCATATGCATTCGGTACTCTTGCTTGTTTCACTTTTGCAAAAGCAGGTAATGTTCTCTGAATATTTGATCTACGTGTAGCAGTACCTGATCCTGTTTCTGAATGAGATACGTGTGATAAAGAAGGAGGAATTGAATTAGAATTAGATGCAGAAGTGTTGCCACCTGTTTCCAATCGTGTATTATTTTCGATACTAGCATGACTGTCCTCTTCATATTTTTGCACATAAGGAACAGGGACAGATCCAGTTTGACCTACACTGTTCCTGGCTGTCCACCACTGCTCTTCATCTTTTGAGATCACAGTAAGAATTTCTCCTATAATATTATTAGACATGTTATATTTTTTATTTATGATTTAACAACAAAGTTAAATAAGAAACTTGGAAATTAATGTACCTTTTCTAAATGGCAAATCATCTGGATCATTACCCTCAAAATCATATTTTGCAATTACTTTTTGAGTTTTCTTCGGTGCAGGTCTAATCAATGGTGTTGTATCAAGGTAATGGAGTTTATAAAATGCCAAAAGATGTGGAATATCAGGAAACATTTGATCACCAATTCGATAACATATTTGATCACCCTGTGGTATCTTATTAATTATATAATGACTAACTTTACTATCTTCTCGAACGCAAAGGACAAAGTCTCCATGGATAGATGTACTATCACGTACTAAAAAAACACCACCTTCTTTTTCTCCCATTAATAAATCAGAAGCATCCTGGCGTGACATAGCGCCGAAGTACCAACTATAAAAAAGAAGTAATAAATTATTGTCAACATATTATTTAATGCAATAAACACCTATACCATTATTAACATTATCATGTCTTTATAATAATAATAATAATAATGATAATTAATAATAATAATAATAATAATAATAATAATAATAATAATAATAATAATAATAATAATAATAATAATAATAATAATAATAATAATAATGAACTTGTTGTATTTAGACTATCTTTCAATCAAGAAAATTATCATTATGTTTTTAATATATTTTATTAGTTATAAATGTTATGATTATGAAAAATGAAAATTATGAAAAATGTTGAGATTTTAGACATACCTGGATTTATCATATTGATCAAAGGTACCAGCCATTGTTTTTTATTGTAATTGTACTATTGTACCAACGAGTAATCTTAATTACTATTTAATTGTAATACATTGCAAAGAGTATCACTTAGAGCATCACATAAAAACATGCATAGCAGAAAATTACACACAATTTAGTGATTCAGTCATATAATTTAACGAATGATATCAGTGTACGAATTAAAAGAAAATCTAATTATCGAATATATATATCTTCAAAGAAAATTAACAATTTTGTTAATAAGTTTGACACTTATTTATAAGAAAATTACTTCGTTATAAAATATTTTCCATATGAATTCATACAACACAGAAATGTCACGGACATGTTTAATATGAACATGTTCAGATGTTACACTCAATTACGATATAACTCATTGAGATATTTTTGTTGTTTTTTTATGTATGTGTGTTTTTTACACTACTATACAAGCTGTATACCGATATTTTGTGTGTGGAAGAGTTATGCAGGTAAATTATATTGGAATAGCAACCTTAGAAAAAATGGTTGCCACTGTAAGCCATACTTTTCAACCAATTTCTAATGTGACTACATATATACAATGCCGTTCATAGATTGCATGTAATTGACATTCTGTTTGGAATTCTTATACACGACCAATCAAAAAAGTAAGGCTAGTATATAAACCAATTACGACACTAATAAAGAATATAATTTTTATATTGAATATTATATTAATAGAGAAATTTTACAATTTTTAAAGTAATAAAAGAAAAAATAAATATTCATTGCCAATTGTATTAATTTAAGAAAATAATTGTATTTTATCATTATAATTATCATTAAACAAAGTTACAGTTAATTTGTTGATTTGGTAACACTGTGAGATAAAAGGTACCAATGATTGTAACGCGCGATATTCGAACGAACATATTGATATTTGTCGAAAAGTTTTATATTCAAGCCTATTCATTACCCCTTGTTTTATAATAATTTATATTAGCAATGAATCCAGACATTATTTATTCATTTTAATGAACAAGGTCTTATTTTAAAGATGAAAGTTTAAATGAGGAAATGGTTCTTTTGTATTTTTGGATGTAATTTAAATGTGTATGTGCATATGTATAAAAAAAATGCTCCTCTTTTTCGAGAATAATTTGTACATAAAAAGAAAAATTTTCCAAAAATTTGATAAAACCATCCATTCGCATAAATCTTCGTATTTGAAATGAGATCTCGTTTATCAATAATATATGCAAGTTTATATACCGATACGATAGACAGATAGTGGGGACAATGTTTCCCTATTGCACTTGTAGTTCATATTTCGTCCATACCAGTCGTTGAAATTACACCCGATTCGAAAAGTGATAATTGCCTTAATAATTAGTTTTATTATTATATTTAAGTAAAATAAAAATTTGTTAATATTTCTAATTACACATTATATGAAGCAACATTTTTAATGGCTATAACAAGAGGATTTAAATCTCGTTTATGCTTCATTAACAATTGATTGTGAATACGATTTGGAAGTGTGTCATAAAATAGTGTTGACATTTATTCCCCTTTGGACAAGTCCCGTTTTTTAGTCATTATTTTTCTTTTTTTCTTTTTCTTTTGTTTTTCGAACGAAAAGTTTTTTTTTTTAATTGTTTTACTTTATTAACTTGTGAAATTAAAAGTATATTAATTATACAGTAAATTAAATATTTTAGACAGTAATTCCCAAAAAGAGAAAGTTTATTATAATCGGATTACGTTAATTATATTCCTGTATCACTATATCGTCGATATAACTAGTGATAACCTCAAGACACTTCGACGAAGAAAGTCGAATTTTCTATCATAGAAACTGCCTTTGGTTAAACGACTATAGATTTTTATGAATTTTAATGTTATATTTGATATTATACTAATAAATATTGAGAAATGATGTCAGATCGAGATTATGCACCATTAAGTGCAGCATGCGTTCGTTCATTAAATGACAAAATTTATGAGAAACGAAAAGCAGCTGCTGTGGAAATAGAAAAGTGAGGTTATATTTACTATACTATTTGTTTTATCTATATGCTAATGACCATTTAAATGATTTTTAGAATGGTCAAGGAATTTGCTACACACAATAATACCGTTCAAATTAAAAGATTATTAAAAGTACTTGGTCAAGATTTTGCAACTTCACAAAATCCGCATACAAGAAAAGGGGGTTTAATTGGTCTAGCAGCTATAGCTGTTGGTTTAGGAAAAGATACTGGGCAATATATTGAAGATTTAATACATCCAATAATAGCATGTTTTTCTGATTCTGATTTAAGAGTTAGGTATTATGCTTGCGAGAGCCTTTATAATGTAGTAAAAGTAGCTAGGGGTGCGGTATTACCACAGTTCACAGATATTTTTGCAGCTTTAAGTAAATTAGCATGTGATTCGGAACAAAATATAAAATCCGCTACAGAATTACTTGATAGACTTATGAAGGTAATAATACTTTTTTTTTATATATATATATATCTAGTACTTTATAATTATATAAATTTCATATATACATTTTATTTTAGGATATTGTGACAGAAAGTGGTCTGTTTGATTTAGTTGGTTTTATGCCACAGTTAAGAGAACGTATTTATACTAAAAATACATTTGGTAGACAATTTGTTATAGCATGGGTATCTGTCTTAGATGCTGTACCCAATATGGATTTTATTACATTCTTACCAGAAATACTTGATGGATTATTTAGAATTTTAGAAGATCCAACACCAGAGATTAAAAAGACAACAGATATAGTTCTTGGTGAATTTTTGCGTAATATAAAATCGAATCCAGCAAGAGTAGACTTCTCAGGAATGATTAATATTTTAATTACTCATGCTCAAAGTACTGATGAACTATTGCAGTTAACAGCAATAACTTGGATTAAAGAATTCGTACAGCTTTCTGGTCCGGTTATGTTACCATATATGTCTGGAATACTTGTGGCAGTGTTACCATGTTTAGCATACGATGGAGATACAAGAAAAAATATTAAAGAAACTGCAACTCAAGTTAATACAAATTTAATGAAATTAATAATGATGGAAAATTCAGATGTTTCAAATAAAGTTTTAATAAATGAAAGTAATATTAATTCTGCTAAAAAGTCAAAAGGTATCATTTGCAAAAATATTAATTTTGTTGGTAATTAATGCACTATGAAAATGTTTTTCATATATACAATCTATATGCAACCGATGATGAAATTTTTTTAAGCTTTAAAAATATTTTCTTTTCAGATGGTAATCAAAATTGTTCTTTGGCTGAAAGTTTAGATCTGTCTAGTTTGGTAGAAGTGCTCATCAAACATTTAATGTATATGTCTGTTCAAACTAAAGTTGCTGTTTTAAAATGGCTTCATCATTTATTTACAAATATTCCACATAAAATGTTTGATCACATAGAAGTATTATTCCCAATTTTAATGAGGTCTTTAAGTGATAATTCAGATGATGTAGTACAACAAACTTTAGTTGTAATGGCTGAAATAATTAGTTCAAAATCTTCAGAAGCAATTACAGTTGATTATCATAATGAAGTGCAAAATAAATATTTTACAAAGTTTATTGTAAATTTATTAAGACTATTTTCAACTGATAGAAATTTATTAGAAGAAAGAGGTGCTTTCATCATAAGAGAATTGTGTGTATTACTTAGTGCTGAAGATATATATAAAACATTAGCAAAAATATTATTATATGAAGAGAATTTAAGTTTTGCATGTACTATGATACAAACTTTAAATATCATTTTGCTAACAAGTTCTGAATTATTTGATTTAAGAAATAAATTAAAAGACTTGGATTCTTCGGTGAGTATAAGAATAGGATAAATGTTGTTTTAATTAAATATATTTTGTTTCTAATTATGATTTATGCTCAATACAATATTGTATTTAGGAAAGTTGCGATTTATTCCAATGTCTTTATGAATCTTGGTGTCATAATCCAGTTGCAACTGTAGCCTTATGTCTTCTATCACAACTTTATCCCCATGCACTTAACATTATCAAATCATTGTATCCTTCATTATATATTCACAATATATGCAATTTATATTATTTACACAGACACAATAATATTTTTCTTAATTTTATATCATATAGTGAAAATATCGAAGTTACTGTTGAATTTTTGACAGAAATAGATAAATTAGTACAGCTTATTGAATCGCCTATATTTACATGTGAGTAAATTTAAATTTCTTCGATTTAAACGTGTTTAATATATATGTGTAATATTTATATTATTAATGTATGTAATCTATTTTTTTTTTTTAAGATTTGCGTTTGCAGCTATTAAATAGAGAGGATAATATTGACTTAATTTATGTACTGTATGGTTTGTTAATGATACTTCCTCAAAGTGAAGCATATGCAACTTTACAGCGACGACTATCTGCAATTCCTCCAGCAACAAAACCATCGAGTCTTAAGAACAATAAAGTATCCAATAAACAAAAATTAAACTTCATTGAGTTACTATATCATTTTCATGCTGTCCAAGACAAACACAAAGAACATAAACATAAACAAAGATTAACTTCACTAGTTGAAAGGAATACAAATCAAGTTGATGTATAATATTATAACTAGTATGATAGAATGTAGAATACATTTAATTGTTAATTTTTAATGTGTATATAAATCTGTTAATTTTTTTATTGAACATATGTATTGATGTAAAAAAATCACTTTTTAAATTCGTTTCAATTGTATTATTATATTATATATTATTATATATACTACTTTTAATTAATTTAAGTTGAAAATAAATAATTCATATATAAAATGTACGTGAAATATGTAAATCGTACTTTTACTAAATCTATGTTAAATTATTTAATGCTTATTTTATATTTGATATTAAATATATTCAGTCTTTTTTCATAACACTGTGTAATATTTTTATAGATTAACAAACATGTTTTCAACATTTTAAACTATTTCGTGCTGTTCTTTTAAATACTTTACATATTAAATATTTCTAATATTTATAAAAGAAATAATTTATAGTTTAAGAAATGATCTTAAAATTAATTTTTATGAAATAATCACAAAAAAGTTTAGAGGTAAAAATAATTGTACATAGTTTCTAAAGTATTATTTCTAAAATATCATAGTTTTAAAGTTCATATTCAGAGTCTTCTGCATCTTCTAATGTATCCATCGTCGATAAATGATCAAGTTGATCTATTAAACGTCCATTATCATAGAGAATTACGGTTATTTGTTCTTGCATATCACAAATTTTTTTCCATTTTTTTGTACTTTCTTCAGCAGGTGTATTTGCTTTTTCATTTGTTTTAAATATCCCAGGAAGTTCATCCAACAAATGTAAAAGACTATCATGTCGTTCTTTGCTTTCTTGAGAAAGTCTATAAGAATAAGACTCCAGAGTGAGTTCATAATTACCTACATCTTTGTCTAAAATTTGAGCTTGTAGAAATACAGTCTGTGCCATTTTATACCAATCAGCAACACATTCAGATCGTTGAGTCATTGCTGGTATACACTCTGTTTCAAGAAGTAATTTTATTCTACGACCTGTTTCCATTACCTATACAAGATATGGAGTAATAATTATTTTGTTTTACTTTAAATATTATACTATATTAAATATATTTAATACCTTTATACGTTCTAAAACATGAAATTGTTCATCATTATAAGTAAGACTACGTGTAGCTCTATCTCTTAGCAAGTGCTGCCAGCCATCCCTTAAACGATCAACCAATGTAGCAGCACGTTGACTTGCTTTTGCACTCCATGGGCACCATAGCCCACGTGTACTGTTTTCCCATTCTCCACGTAAACTACCTCCTTGTATATACCTAAGTGAATTATATCAATATAATATAATCCATTAATATAAATATAATAATCTTTTATACCTTTGGTGAAGTTGTGCAACTGCAGGTGCTAGTTCAGTTAATAATTCTTTACTCTTTAAATCTAATTCCTTTTTCCAATTTTTAGGCTCAAAACTGATTTGATTAGCATATTTTTTAAGTACTTGTCTTGTGAAGTTTTCACTTCTTTCTATGGCTATTGAAGTGACTTCTGTTGCTTTTGTAAACTCTTTCAAATGTTGGCACTTGCCTAATACTTTTGTAAGTTCAGTAGCTAAAAGTCCACTGAAAGCTTCTATTGCATTTTGCATTAATTTACTACACAATGATAATTTATCAATTCTGCGTTTACAAACATGTCCAACTGAACATGCTACTTTTGCTTGACTAGCATCATTTTCTACAGAAACTAGATTTGCAAAGACTGGAAATTTAGGTAATTCACTCTCTATTGGTAAAATAACATTATTGTTTTCTTTAGAAAATAACATAACAGGTTTATCAGCATCCATGTTTGGATAACCTTTTCCAGGTGTATATTCCTCAATAATATTAGTAAGGGGCATTTCTCCAAATAAAAGTATCTGAGCATGTGGTGGAATTTCTGTTTGATCTTGGATATAAGCCTGAAGTGCTACAAATTTTTCTTCAGGATGTAGAAAAACTTTTATTAAGCTAGCTCTATGTACATTAAATATATGAATGGGTTTTCTACACAGAGTATCTGTAACTTCTGTGAAAAATCTATCAAAACTCCATATTCTCTGTGGATCAACTTCCAATAAGCCAGCTAATAGAGGAGTTACTATTTTTTTTAAACCATCACTTAATTGACAATTTTGAGGTAATTCTCTACTCCATTCTATAGGACCATTTTCTGAAGTTTGCATACCAGATATAACTCCAGATGATTTTTTAGTTGTTATGTAAAACATTGTCTCTTTATTTCTACGTCCACCAAATGGCCTAAATGGTAGATTTCCTGTAGCAACATGATACAGAGTTACTCCTATGGACCAAAGGTCAACAGTTGCTCCAAAAGTTTTGCCAACAGGTTTTCGTAAAACTGCTCTTTCATACATGTCTGGATGTAGATATTCCTCAGTACCATAAAGAGAAACAAATTGTTGATCCTCTTGCAATTCTCGTGCAGCTCCAAAATCAGTAAGTTTATAAATTGTACTACCATCGTCAGCAATAAATTTCATAATATTACCTATCAAGAAAATATACATTTAAAAAATATACATATACAAAATACAATATATGCTTATCAGACAATTATTAATAATATACATAATAATATACATAATATACATAATTTTAAATATCTCACCTGGTTTTAAATCGCGATGTACTAAATTATTATCACGTAAATGTTTCATTCCAGCAGATAAGTGTTCTAAGACTAATAGAAACTCATTTTCTGCAAGACCATAAGTATTTTCTGGATCATCTAAAATATTAAAAAGGCTGCCTCCTGTACAAAGTTCCATTACAATTACTTTTCCACGTCCATCTTGCTCTTCTTCTATGGCTAACAATTTGACAATATTTTCATGTTTAACTTTTTTTAATACTTCAAATTCTCTCATCTGTACATCATGTGGACGCATATGGCTTAGTTGATTAAAAGTTTTTACTGCAACGGGCTCTCCATTGTTTTTATTAACTCCTTGAAACACTGCACCAGTTGCACCTTTGCCTAATACACTGGTTGTGCACCAAACATAATTTGCAGAGCCTCGTAGAAAGGACATAATGGTCTGATCTATTGGATTATTAGTTACACTTTGTAAATCTTTTGATACATTGGATGACAGATTGTGTATCTATTTAAGATTCCTCATTTAAAAGAATATTTTTAATTATTTATTAATTTATTATCTATTTTTTAACTTTACTACTAAAAATAAAATGACTTATTTATATTTACTAATTTTATATTACATAATTTACAGTATTATATATATCCTTTTTTGTAAATCAAAGTAACATAATCCAACTTAGGTGAAAACATCAAACTTTGTAATCATGACCTATCAATTTGACGTTCATCGTTTATACGAATTCGTAATATGTATTGCTGACAGTCGATAAAGCAGTTTCCAGTGTTACAAATTTATAATAATTATTAGCAATTGGTAATTTGAATTATATTATAAATTGACAATTTTATTCTTGAATATAAATTAAAAATATAAAAATATAAAAAAGAATATATATATACTATAGAACTAAGAATAGAATTACTAAGGATTACATATATACATATATATAGAATATATAAATATATATATATACAGAATATCTACACATTTATTTGTTTCTAAAAATAAAAAAAATTCTTCAAAATAAAGTGCAGTTATATTAAAAATAAAAATATAATCATGTAAAATTGAATTATATATTCTCGAAAACGTACTATCCAATGTTGTCCTTAAAAGTTTGTACTATTTTTAAAAAAATGTATAAAATACAATATTTCATATTCAACGATGCGTTCAATATAATACATGTAAAAAAAAAAAAATAATACATTTAAAAAATAGAAAAAGGAAGGGAGATTATATGTTCGAGTAAATGAAATGGATTTGAAATATTGTAACTTTCTTCCTTCATTTCGTAGTAGAATACGAAGAAGCTTAACATCTTACATAAATACATTGATAACCTACAACAGTTCTTTCTCCGTAACAAAGGTCATCATTGATGCAATGAAGACATCTTTTATTATTATTTTTTTCTAATTATAGAATACACGTTAATATTGTTTGAATTGTCATATAATCATAGAAAATAATCGAACGTTCCAACGATCATTAAGATATGTCAAATAAATAACAAGAGAGTAAATGATATATCGTATTAATTTGTATTTATTTTTATTTTAATTTTATTATTTATTTTTATTTCATAAAACATTTTTATTTAATAAAAGTATCATGAATCTATATGATAAAAATAAAATATCACTTTGAAAGATATGAAAAAAACAAGAAAAGATTGAAATGTGAAAAGTTTAACAATCAAGTAGATTCCTCAGAGATATTTTCACATTATCTTCTTGATGATTCTACGTTAGAAAATGATATTAAATATAAATAAGGTAGGGGCAAGGAACGAATGAGTTCAGAGTCGAAAGAGCAAAAGTCCTTCTGAAAGGAGACAGAAAAAGAAACTGTAAAACGTCGTCGGAGCCGTAGGGAGAGCGGCACGAGTGCTAATCAACATCGGTCGAACGTTCCTAAGCCTCCCCGTTTAGTTCAGAAGGGTTAATAAGAAGAGCTAAAACGAATATTCATGCTTTCAGTCGAACCTCAGTACGTTAGCGTTCGTCAACGACGTTCGTTCGTTGGTTGGCCTCGTTAATAGCAATATATTCTTAGATCGTGAATATCTTCGATTATAATATTATTCCAAAAATAAAAATAATCGTCTCATTAAGTGTAAACAGTGTAAACAAGAAGTGAACAAATCACTGTTAATTACAATGTTGAAATCTCATTTATCCGTTTTACTCATTTATCTGCTGACGTCGATCTATCTCTGTCAAAGTAGCAACTCTGTTAAACGGTAAATATCAATCGAATATTGTTTTATTAATATATTTTATTTATTTATTTCTTTTTTTGAAATTAAACGACTTACACGATTTAATTTCGCATCTTAATATCGGAATAATAAAATCTTTTAACGTGTGAATCTGACAATTAAATAATGTAAAAAAAAAAGCGAAAAATTGTTATTAAAGTAACATAAATTAATTTTTTTGCGTTGTTTCTTTTTATTTTTTACAGAGGATATGTGTTCACGGCACCAAAAAGATTTTTAGCCGGGGAGACCGAAAGCGGATGTTTGTCTCTGCACAATTTAGAACCACCAGCGCACATACTTCTTGAATTGTTATCTCCAGAAAGAGAAATATTGGCAAGCACTAGTACCACCATAAAGTCTGGCAAGTAGAATGATTATAAACATGCTTAAAAAGAAAACAAAATTTTATCCTTGCTACGGCTGAAGATTTGCTTCTACGTAATTTTCTATTAGAAAGAAATCATATTCATAATTACTTCTCTTCTTCGTTTTTCTAATATGAACATTTCATTCATAATAACATGCATGTGCAAGTATGCTCTTTATCGTGAATTGACCATAGATATTCAATTCAAACAATTGACTTTTTTGAATGTCGCTTTTTATTTTATATATATATATATATATATATATATATATATGTATATATATAATATTTATATTATTTTTCAAGATTATATTTACATCGAAAGTTATCAATCACATGTTAAAAGTTCGACTTCTTTTTTATATGATTAATATTTGTATTAAATCTCTTTCTCCGGTTTCTCGTTCTCTCTATTTTTATCTCACTATTTTTCTCACAAACACAAATACAAACACACACACACATACGTCTTTTCTCCCCTCTTCAATTACCTCTATCTTTCTATATGTCACGTAAGGCTCTTTAAACAAATTGTAAATTGAAATTGTCGTCGCTTCCTGTGAGGGAGCTGAATTGGCTAAGTCCCTTGTTGGAGGGGAAATAATCAATCGTTAGATCACATGGGAAACCCATCGGCATTGTTATCGCGTAAAATATACGGAGAATATCAGCATTGGGGTTTTGAATGTTATCAAAGTTAATTCAAATGATCGATAAAATAAAGCCAAATATAGATCCGATCGTACATCTGGGAGTGATATTAATAGAAAAATTTAAACAATCGTATCCTGCACTTACATCGTCTCTCGATTAACTTACTCAATTTATTCAAGTGATTATCTTCCCCGTATATTGTCTCGTGCAAACGTAATTGCAGAAATAATAATTAATTGGATTATCGCGCTCAGTTGAATCATCAGTCTTTATAGCGATTCGTCGAACAAACAATATCTGTATTGGTGATAGGGTTCTTTAAATGTGTATTAGTATCAAGAGAATTATCATTTGAATAATTTAGGACACTTCTATCAAAATTCAACAACTTATAACTTAACACATTGATTGTCCGTTAATGATCAATTTATGAAATAGGCGTGGAAACATGCTTGGAGTTAATGGTACCATCAACGAAATATTCCAATGCGATACTTCAATTGAAAATGAAGTTCGACAAACATCCCGATTATTCTGTAGATTCGGAGAAAGAAGTTTATATCGAACACGATTCTATAATAACGTTTCTTGAAACTGATAAGCCAGTGTATAAACCAGGACAAGATGTTAATATCAGAATTTTAATGCTTAAGCACGATTTGAAACCTTGGAAGAAAAGAGTAAGTTTCTTGAATTGACAGTTATATAACTTTCATTTTATTTTTATGCGATGATAAAAAAATTTTTGGATTGAAACACTTTTGGTTTCATATAGATTTCAAAAATATGGATTGAAAATCCATCAGAGATAAGAGTAGCGCAATGGACAAACATGACTACGGTAAATGGGATGCTACAATTGAAATTTTCTTTAACATCCGAAGCAAGTCCGGTAAGATTATATTATAATTTAATTCTAAACTATATAAATATGTATTAATTTCAACATATTTCTTATATACAGGGTACATGGAAAATAGAAGTTGAAAAAAAGAAATCACAGCCACAATTCTTTCATACGACAGTATTTGAAGTGAAGAAATACGTTTTACCGAAATTCCAAGTAAAAATAATATCATCAGGATATATACTTGCAGATGCTGAAAACGTTACGTGGAATATTTGTGCAAAGTAATTTTAAGATCCTCAATAGAATTAGTTATCGCGAAATAACATTTCATTTATCATCTTATATACCAATATGATTGATAATTCACTGGCCTTGTTATAAATAGTTATCTACAAGCCAATTGATAATATTTACATTATTTTTCCTAAGAACTACGAAAGTTTAAATTACAATAATTTTTGGAGTATAATTTTAAACATAACTTATATAAGCATATATATTTATGGATAACTCTTTGTGTTAATTATCCTAAATGAATATTACTTTTAATTATATGAAAATGTTCACATTAGATATAGCTATGGGAAACCAGTTAAAGGTACCTTGTTCTTGAAATTGACTCCACAAACTCCAAGCTGGAAGCGAAAATTAAATTTACCTGAAATACATTATGAAACAGAAGTATGTAAGATTATTTTGTTTACGCGCTTACATCATAAATGACATAAATAATTACAAAGATCATCTTGGATTCTTTACAATTAAATCATTTACAATAAGAAATTTATTTGTTACAGCTCGATTCACCAGATGGTTGTACAGAATTTGCACTTTCCAGTGCGGTTCTTGGATTAGCTAATTGGAAAGTAGCACCAAATAATATCGCTTTGATAGCAAACTTCACGGAGGCTGGAACCGGTATTGTCGAAACTACTATCAGTCGAACTGTAGTTGTACATCAAGCCCTTAAATTGGAATTCATACCGTACATGCCTAAATATTTCAAATTGGGTCTACCTTATCACGGAAAGGTGACACAGAAGATATTTATACAATATTTAATTTATTATTATTATTATTATTATTATTATTATTATTATTATTATTATTATTATTATTTGTGAATATATGAAAATATTCTTATATTTATAATTCATATTATATTCTGTATTAATTTAAGTTCATATTATATTGCAGTTGCGAGTTCTCCGCCAAGATGATGTTCCTGCTGCAAATGAAAAGATTCAGCTCTGTTTGAGAGTCCGTGAAAAAGATGAACGATCACGATCGGCAGTGGAATGTCGTCCTTTTATATCCTCGGGAGATGGTTTCATCGATTTTGTGGTACCACCACCACACAAACACATCACTTTATTGACCTTTATAGCAACTGGTGTTGATTATCCTACAAAATATTATTCTCCAGATAAACGTTGGAGGGTAAATAAATATCTTTTTTTTTTTATTATATATTTATAATATAACGCGTTGAATATATATAATATAATTAATATTCTTAGATTTTCATGGATCAACCTTCAGCATATATCGACATATTTCCTTGGTATTCGCCATCCGATAGCTATTTGGCTGTTGCACGAGGATATCAGCCAATTGTTTGTGGTGAAAAGTATTCGTTCAATGTTATGTATACGGTACCAGTTACTAATGACAATAACGAATCAATTTCTTTCCATTATTCTATTAATTCAAAAGGAGATCTTCTAATATATGGTCATGTCAAGCATAGACCTACACGTGAAACAGTATTAAATTATTCAGATTTTCGCAACCTGTTAGCTGTAGAATCACCTACAAATAAAACGGATCAAAACACTATCGTACACCGGTAAGATTATATATGATCATATGCTTGATATAATATTTAAAAAAAGAGAAAGAAATAACTTGTAAATAAACTTGTCGTTTCTAATAAGGTTTCCTTTGAGCGTAAAAATTACACCAAGTATGGCACCGGTTTCGGAATTACTTTTATATTATGTCAGACCGGATGGCGAAACCGTAGCAACAAGTTACACCATCGAAGTTGGCCATTGTTTCGAAAATAAAGTTAAAACGGCATGGCACATAGATGCTCAAAGTCCTGGCACAACGACACAATATCATATAGAAGCTGCGCCATGGTCACTCTGTGGAATTTCTGCTGTCGATAAATCAACTGTTTTCCTTGCTGGATCAAAATCAAATTTGTTAGATCCTACTCAAACTTTTAATCAACTTAAAAGATTCCATCTCGATTCGGAATGGTCTGCTTGGGCCTGGACTAATTGCAAAAGTATTATATTTAAGACGTCTATTATGTATGTTCACCTTAAAGAGACTATGAAAAAATGGAAACTCTGAGTTCTTGAGTAAGCTTAGTAATGACAGTGGCACACATGAAATTTGAGTATCTCGAATCTTAATCCATCCAGAGCCATTTTTTCGTAGCCGATTTTGTTGTATCATTAAAAATGAATTTTTATTATTTGCCGCAACAGTACAGTCAGAACAAGATAGAAAAGAAGTCGATCATTTGCCTTTTCCCGCAATAGAAATACCATTTTTGAATTTAAAAAGATATAGAAGACGTTCCATTGATACTGTTATGTCAGATGATGTTACTTATGTAGATGCTGCACAGGCTTTCAATGTAAGTTTTTGGTTTGAAAGGATTATATATATATTTGACAAAGAAGAAGAAATGATATTATAAAAAAAATCAATGATTACTCTTTTTTATAATTTCATACTACCCCTAGGATTTCGGGACGATTGTGATGAGCGATTTAATCATAGAAACTAAGCCATGTCCGAAATCTTTCTTCAATCTAAGACAACCTGACGCAATATATACCGTTCATAGTAAATCCTCTAAAGATTCTGGTAATTTATCTGATATGATTTCATTAAATTTTTATTATAAAAATGCAAAAATCTTAATATAAGTATGTGTAAATTTCTTCATATATATTATTTATGTTGACAGAATTAATGTTCAAAAGCGACATGAAAACGATGCCTATGGCTTATCCATTGCTTAATTTCCCAGTTCCAACTGCAGACATGGCTGCAGAATTAGCATACGTAGATCAATCACTCGATCTTGTTACCACTCTTAGATCATATTTTCCAGAAACATGGTTGTGGGAATTAATGCCAATTGGGTATGAATTTAAACGAATTATATGAATATTTTTAGATATGATTATAGTATTATATCAAACGATTTTATATGTATTTAATTGTTATCCACAGAAAAGAAGGAAAATTAACGATAGAACGAACTCTTCCGCATACTATTACGGATTGGGTTGGACACACAGTTTGCATTTCACCAGTTCAGGGCCTTGGAATTGCACCACCGACTACTATTACTACTTTCCAACCCTTCTTTCTTGATTATAGTTTACCTTACAGTGTCAAGCGTGGTGAAATGTTACGTATGAAAGTTTCACTTTTCAATTATATGCAACATAGTTTACCAGTAAGTATAAGTAGATTAGAAAATTGAATTTAATATATATACATACGACAGTGTACTTAAAACTAATAGGAAAAATGACATTTTTTTAAAGGTAAGGATTCAATTAGAAGATGCAACGGGTTTAGATTTACATTTGTCTAATCCTGTCTCTTCGTTTTGTGTAAAACCAACAGACAGTGTCGTTCATGAATATATTTTAAGACCTCGTGTTCTCGGAAATATTAATATCACAGTATCCGCAGCGATAGATGCTAATTATCCCGAGTCATGTGGTCCAGACACATTGGTATACACTCGGTATATTAAAAATACATTTTTCTAATACTCATTAAAATGTAATTTATTATTCGTCGGTCAGTTATAGTAATGTATTTTCATTAATAATTTTATAGTGATACCATCATCAAACCAATCCTCGTATTACCAGAAGGTTTCCCAATCGAAATCACCAAATCAGCGTTTATTTGTCCAAAAGATTTTAGCGACGATTCAAGAATAGTTTGGAATTTGGATTTACCAAAAGATTTGATACCTGGCAGTGCAAAGGCTCATGTGACGTTGACAGGAGATGTTTTAGGACCAGTATTAGAAAACTTAGATAAACTCGTTAAACTTCCAATGGGATGTGGCGAACAAAACATGGTTCTATTTGTACCGAATATTCACGTAATCGGCTATTTGGATGTCAACGGCATGGACAATCCAGAACTTCGAGCAAAGGCTATTAAACACATGGAAAAGGGTATTTTATTTTTACATAATAAAAATAAGAAAACTTAGCTACATTATATTTCATATTAAATGAAATCCATTGATATAGGATACCAGCGTGAGCTAAATTATAGACATACCGATGGTTCTTATTCAGCATTTGGTCCTGGTATTTCAGAAAGTTCAATATGGCTAACTGCCTTTATAGTGAAATCTTTTGCTCAAGCTCGCAGT